CTTTTCAAAAAATAAGACTTGTCGCAGCATTTTAGGCGGAAACAAATTCGGGAGCTTCAAACTGCTAGAAACAATGCGACAAAATCCATAAAACTGGAGATTCTCTTTCAAGAATCAAGCCACATAATAGGGCCCATCTGTTCCTTATCTGGGCCCTGCTCCTGTCCGCCGTAGGTGGTCACTGCCCTGGCCTGGATGTCTCCCGCATGACTGACTGCGAGCTGATCGTGTGGCTACTTTGCTGCATACTTTTGGATCAGCGTTACTTTTACATGGTGTATGAAACATGTGTTGGACACCTGCAACAGCATTTTTCCCGAATAATCTTCCCTTATACCACACCATCGTAGAAAAATAGCCTCCGGGAAGCTGTCTGCTTTAGGTATGGATTGGCCCAACGGACACTTCATTGCCCAGCATGCAACGTACGCGACTTGATCTCCTTTTGTGTGTAGGCAGGGGCGTAGCCAGAGCCTTGCCAAGAGGGAGCATAGGGTTGTCAAAAGCCCATCTTATAGTGACCCCCCAAAAATCCCCGGATATGGCCTACTTGTTCACAAGTGACACGGTTTTGTTCGTTGTATTGTTATTTTTACCTTGTAACCAGAACAAAAACCAGGAGCTACCGTCAGCTCACTTCTGTTTGCATTTTGAGGTCAATAAGCCGCAGAAATCAGGCGTTCAATGACTGCATGGAAGAAATCACCGGCGCTCTTAATTTACAATGGTTAGCTGACTCTTTCTAAACCGATAGAATTCAGAAGCTTTATAAATCTTTCATCTGGGCTCTACAGACATTGAGGACATTGCGGAGGTTGATTGTAGATCGATATGTTTGATCCAAATTTGAAGACGAAAATTTATTGCAAATCGAATGGTCAACAATGTGTATTAATATGGCCAGGCCATATTTGTCTGAAAATGTTCACCATTCAGTCAGAATCGATTAGTAACACAATTCATGTGACGTGTTTTTTAACACGCTCGCTCGCAAATCTTAGCAACAAAAACCTCGATACCAGGCGTTGCAGTCTCCATTGTCCTCGGAACCCAGTAGCTAACCCATTGCCCAGTAGCTAACATTTAACCGTGGCCCACCGGTGAACGAAAATGATGACACTTCTGAAATATCATCCTTAAACACTTGAATCAACTAGATATACAAGCTATGTGGCGTAATTTTGAGCATGCGCACTCGAAAATTTTAGAAACACAAGCCTCCTACCCAGGCGTTGCAGTCTCCGTAGGCCACGCATCGTCGTCCTAGCAGCTAAGATTAAGTTGCGGCCGACGGGTGGACGAAAATGATGACGCTTCTGAAAAAGCATCCTTGAACGCTTCATGACATCAAATCTTGTATTTAGAAAGCAGTCTGAGGGCATATTTCACGCATACAGTTTTTAGATTGATGAAAAGGACGAATTGGCCGCTAAAGCACCGCGAAGAGGGGCTGGAATCTGGTGACTGAACTGAAAGAGTGAAGGTAAAATCTTATTTTCCGTGTTTCCTCAGCTATTTATCTGTCCAGAAGACAGATAAACACGGCGCCCGCCGTCTGGTGGCACTTGCAGTGGCCGAAACTTGTCGGTTTTACGGAAGTTGCAACCCAGACCATCCTTGTCCTTGCCCTCGAGGTCGCGGGTGGCCATGTTCAAGCCTTTTGATGTAATTTGTTTCAATACTACATTCTGAAAGAAATGAACGTTCTCGTGCAAACATGCATGACCTTGCTGGTTTTTAAAAAAAAAATTCATTTCGACCCGTGCTTTTCAACAATAATGAGAGCTCCACTCTACTCGACAATAATGAGACCCCTTATTCCCCTCCGGGCGAGGGGCCTCTTGAGTAGAACATCAGGGGCACATTACCGTTTCCGGTCAAGGGCTGAGGGGACATTCCGTCCCATCGCGAAGTGTCTTCTGGCTATCATTCTGGTGGCACGGGCGGCATCTCCTGGTCGATCCGGAGGTCATTAGGAGGATATATCATATCACATTGTTCCCATCCCTGACACGGGAGGCCTTCTGATCCGCGCAGTTAGCCCTAGATCAGCACAGGAACCCTAACTGACGCAACAACATCCCTGATCACTGCAGGCAGTCCGATAGTTTTCACATAGATTCCAGTTCCATGTTTTTCTGTGTTCTTCAGAGGTATTGAGACTGTAGATTGCACTGTAGACCCTGACTGTAGATTGCAGATGAAACGGGGTTCATAATTTGTATTAACATGGCTAGCTCAAGATCGTCTTATATTGCTCAAGATCCTGTCAGAACTGATAACTGATAAGAAAACTACGTAATATGGTGTTGAACATGCGTGCTCGCAGGCCATAGCAATAACAGCCCCGACACCTGGCGTTGCAGTCTCCAGGCCATGCGGCGCCGGCCCGGCGGTTGTAACACTAAGTGATGGCCAATGAGCAAACGAAAAAGATGACGCATCTTAAGGGAGATGGCTGGTGAACTAGGTAAATCGGCATGCATTTTTAATGCAGTGCAAAAGTAAGCCAAATGCAACCTTAATCTGAAATGTGGGAGGGCCAGCTAACGTTGCTGGCTCCCTCCACATTGAAAATTGGGGGGGCCACGGCCCCCTGCCCCCCCCCCCCCTGTTCCTACGCCCATGGCTATGATGACTTCCAAAGGTGTAAGCCAGGGGCCATAAGTGGCGTCTCAAGTAAGCGACAGATGTTTTTGGTCAACGAACAAAGCTTTTGGCATCTAAGGTGCCCAACAGAGCTGCAAACAAGACAGTAGAAGTGCCACGGGAGAAGGCTGTGCTGTGAAAACCATAGGCAAAGCAAGTGAAGTGGGCATGAATGGATCGAGCACGCCAGTAACAGACCAGGTGCTCCATTAACTGGACATAACAATGAACGTCACTGTCTGCCACCACACCATTTATGTGCACCAAGCTCCGAATTATCAAGCTTAGCATATACAAAGGCGGACCCCAAATTTCCTGCACCTACAAGATGGAGTGCGTGGTGCAGTGCATAAAATTGCTCTGGCTTCATGACCAGACAAAATCAGCCGTGTAAATCCCGCCAAAGATCAGAAGGAAACCAAGAACCTTATCAGAATGTGCATGTCAAGAAAAGAAATTGAGAGAGAAGGAGGGGGGGGGGGGGGGATGAAGGGAGCCCGCTGGAGCAGCAGGTGAAAGACAGGGTGTTGGGGCACCTCATGTTGCAGGAAAAGGACTCTGGTATGGATAGAGACACTCGGCAGGTAGAGGAGTTAAGAGAGACACTCGGCAGGCAGGTAGAGCCTCCTCGGGCAAAACAAAAGCGAGAGGAAGCATTGAAACTGGTAAAGCGGCTACTGAAGACAAAGCTGGGCGGATTGGCAGCATGGAAAAATGCAACTTTAGTTATTTGCAGCTTGAAACACAGGTCTAAGATTTATTAGATAAAAACCAGCATACATTCCAATCATAATTGTAACAAAGTTATATCTCACGGCAGTTACGACCTACATAATTCTAAAACCTGCAGATGTCTTAAGACGTAAAGTCCTTAGAAGCCGCCATCTGTTTCGTCAGAACATGACCTATGCATGCCATCCGTAATGCGACTCAGTCCTTCCTTTTAAAAGACGCCCCCAGCGCCTCACCAACCACCTGTCGCTTAACATAGCTATGGGCTCACAAGGCAATCCCACACTCTGTGCTTGGTTTAACCAACGATGTCTTACTCGCTTCTCATTGGTTAATCAGTAAACAATTCCCATAGAGACAGGTGACTAGGACTCGTTTCCGTTGGAGGCAGTATGAAAGGTAAGCCGTTTCTTACCATGTATGTTCGCACGCCCACTGGATCTAAAGGCGCGAGGCTGCTGTTGGTTGTGCACGTGGACATTAATAGGTAGTGTGATTGCTGGTGAGTGCAAATTACTGGCAAATAGAAACTGAAGGATGCCAAGATATATCTTTGGCTGACTCGCGAGGACTGGCACGAGCAAGGTCTTCACTAGTCTGTCACGCAAGCAGTTAGCAACATGTCACAATAATTCAATCAGTTTTTCCTGGTAACTCAGCCGGATAGAGCGCCTGCCTTCCGGTCCATCCAACCGTGGCAGACTGGGTTCGAGTCACTTTAAGCAGTCGCCATTTGTCCTTGACATGCGGTGCGTCAAATTCTACCGTTGACCTGGAAATGCACGATCGGCTGGCAGGGGTGAAAGTTTTTACAACCGGCGCCACTTAGCGTGAAATCTAAGCTTAGCGTGACCCCAGCAATTTATTCATTCAGAAGGTTTTGATAAAATCTTGAAAATAATAGTTCTACATATTCTTGAAACGAATGCTCCACTAGTATCATAACCTAGCCCTCGTTCGGACTTGTCGTTTTTCATAACACAAACGGAAACCGAACGTCCATACAACACCCACTGACTTCCAGACTGAGAGTGATTGAGTCTCGCGGAAAATAAGCAGTGGATTGGCCTATAATAAGAAGCACATTATGAAGACCATCCCAGCCAGCTATACACGTAACACGTGGCCGGCGACATTGTCAGCACGCGCAAAGCACCACCTGTTGGCCAGGTGGTGCTTTGTGGATCTGCAGAGTGGACATACGCAGGTGCAGTCGGCAATCCCCTGAAATTAAACCTGTGATGGCTATCTTTATTTAGGTACAGTGTATTCACATCAGAGATGATCTAGGAAAAATTTGTTGCCACGTTAAAATCACCACAAACCGATCACATTAATGCGCAATTTTGGAACGCAAAGACACCTCCAATTAAATGCAAACGGTCAGTGGCCTTTACATTTAATTGTGCATAAGAAAACATCTATTCCGACTTTAAAATACGATTTGGGCTGACGCGCTGTACTCTACTGCACACTCGGTTACTCGTCGGATGCGGGGAATCGGACAATCGTTGCGGAATCGGACGATCAGATGAATGGCCAATGGACGTCGTTAATTAAAACACGCAAAGGTGAGACGTCCAGTTGCTCTGAATTACAAGGCATCTGGCCTGTGCTAGCTACTCGGGCTTGATGTAGCGGCCCGAGAACAGCGTCAGGCCAGTCTTTGCTGTCGATGATGGCGAAGAAGAACGGATGGTCGGCGACAAACTCAAACTTGTATGTGTGCACGGGCGCTGAACACTGCACCATGACCATAGCTGTAGCAGCGGCGGCCTCGCTGCCATCTTCGTTGACCTCGATGAACGCCCTGTGTACCACGCTGGACACGGACAGGTCCTTAGTGTCGGAAATTCGAGACAGGTTGGCTGCGTTTGCATCGAAGAGATCAATGATGCCAAGTCTCTTCAGATGATCGACGAGGTCGTAAGTTGTCTCGAGCTTGAACTTCGGCATCACGACCATCGTCATCTGATTGTGAAGCTTGGCGCAGATGGCCTGGATCGACGCGGTCGATAGTTTCTCCTCCAGGGACCCTCAGGCCATCCCTTTCGTCGGGAAGAAGGATAAGCATGCTAAACCTTTCTCCCTTGTAAGGCAGCTCAAGGGCCTTGCAGGCAATGTCCGTAAGGCTTGCACAGTTGAGTCTCACATCATCCAAATGCATCATGTCTGTTCCGACAGCGATTCCCGGGCTGATGAAAAAGTCCCGTTTCATTGTGGCTTCGATCGCAAATTTCTGTTTCCACGAGCCCTTAAAGTAGATGGCGTTCACAAGTACAAGACGAACACCTCGGCTCAAAGCACCTGAATCGATTAGATTCTTGATTTTTCCCTTTGTCAGTGCCTCTACATCACCATTGATCAGCTTGCTTGTACCGGCGGCGTCGCCGAAGTCAACACTCTTCAGCTCGCTCAGATACTGCTTCTCCAGCAGACCAGAGTAGGTGTCCAAGATCTTGTACGCATTTTGCACGTACAGCTTGTTCGCCGTGTTCAGTGTGACGTCCGGCGGATCCTGCAGCATCTTCAGTACCCGACTGTAGCCGTTGTGTAGCGCTAACCCTGTCCTCAGGTAGCGCCAGAGCCTGCTGCATCTGGAGAACGGTGTTGCCGTCCGCTCCGCCGAACACCATCGACAACGCCGTGCTGATGCTAAAGGGTGAGAGGAACACGTTGTCAGCGCTGGCCCCGGCCAGGACCCGGTACAGGTCCGAGGCTGCCTTGCTCTGGTGGCTAGTGGACGTGCTCCATGCTGGCGATCGGCGGGCCTGGCGTGCGGCGGTCGGCGCCAGCAGCGGAAGCTTGATCTGGCTGGCGAACAGACCAACTCAACTAGAGCGCTGGCAGCAGCGCAGCACTCCGAGGAGTGAGAGCCGGGCGGTCGGCCGGCGGACCAAGGGGAGCGAAGTTCGTTTGGAGCCGGCTGGCCGTTACTTACGTCACCCGCCCGCGCTCGGCAGTGTCCTGGTTGTGACGCGTTGCTGCTGTCGTCGCTAGCGCGCCTGATGCCCGTCTCCCGTGTTCACTAGTATCTGACGTCCTACTGGCGCACCTCTGACGTAGTGGGACGCCCTGACGTCCCGTCTGACGTATCACTAGTATACGAGTCGTGCCAAGTTTATTGGGTCTTCCATGCGTTGGAACGAGGGGCTGCGAAGTTTTCCCACGCGCGATCCATGTCGACCCGCGACTGAGCCCTGCGTCCCGCTATGTTGCCGACTGGAGCGCCATCTGTGTTGCGGTCTGTTGCTAGACAACGAGTGATTAGGACGACGATAGCGCTAGTTAACGACGATAGCGATTCGACCGTTCGGAAACACACGGTGACTATATTATGGCTTTCATGGCCATTCTGATGCGCCTTTTAGGTCTAGGATGGTGTTCGAGCTCCGCGTACTCCTGAAATTGCAAAGCCCTTCGCGGAGAGAAACCCGGGATTCAAATCGGGCGACTATGCTGGTCATTTGTTAGGCTCCTTCAACGAGCTTAGTCTTTGGGGCCATGCTTATTCGAGGCATGAAACTCATCGTGAATAAAAATATGGCCAGCTGACCCCTTTTGTGATAACAACCGGCCAGGCGTAGACATAATATTAGCAACATAACTGTTCTGTGATATTATGTCGTAAATATTCCAGTATCTCTTAAAGTGTCCACAGTAAATGCAGGTTCTACTTCGGAGAAAATGGTGTTTCAGCAAATCTGGGAAATTTTAAGTGTTAAGTAGTTTATGTCACGAAAGCAGTTTAAGTAGTTCAAGTAGCAGTAGTAGTTAAGTAGTATAAAGTAGTTTAAGTAGCTCACGAGTTGTGCGCTTAATGGGCCTTACGATTTCTGTTAGTTACCGCGACGAAGGATTGTCATGTAGATGTTTGTCATCATCTCATCGGAATATAGCAGTATTAGTTGGCATATCTTCTGCACCAAGGATGAGTCGGCTCAGAGAGGGGGTTAGAACTTACTGGAGTCTCTGTGCCAATTCTTAGACCGCGTGCGGCGATCAGGGATGTTGTAGCATCAATGTCAGCCCTTGCATCGATCTGAGACCAACTGTCGAGATCACAGGTGAACACAGGGGACCCATGTATTATGTATCCCTCTGTGGACCTCCGGATCGATCATAGGACCCGACCCCGTACCGCCAGAATGGCAGTCGACAGGCACCTCGCGCTGGGACTGAATGCCACTTCAGCCCTTGGCCGGGAACAATAGTGTGTATCCTGTTTTACACCCTTGCTAGGAAAATGTAAGTGGTCTCACTAGTGGTCAAAAGTATGGATCGAAATGAGGTCTAACGTGAAGAAAGGCCACTCCATGCTGGCCCCAGAGTGTCCTTCCTTTTGCAGAATCGACACGTGAAACAGACTACACACAAACTTTTGATCCTGCGCGCTCGCAATCTTAGTAGCAAGAGCAGCCGTGGCCGAGGTTGCCCTGCGCGCTCGCAATCTTAGTAGCAAGAGCAGCCGTGGCCGAGGTTGCGGTTTCCATAAAACCGAACGGCGTTGGCCACCGCAGATAACGCCAGGCGACGGGCACTGGGCACGTGAGAACGATCGTCGTGAAATAATCGTTCCAAAAGTCTTTTAAAATCAAATCTAGCTGATTAAAAATTGGACGTTGACGTCGTTTTTACCTCTAGAGTTTTGATGTTATTCTTTGAATCGATCGACGTTATAGCAACACGAAAAATGATATTATACCTTTATTCATCCAGTTTCACCACCACATCCCAGCACCAGTTCGCAATGCCGTAAATGATAATTCGTTCCTCTTCTCAATCTAAATGAGCCTTAAAATCAGACAGGCACAATATTTCTCAGGACTGCCTTCTTAATACACGAATGAATGTCATAGAGCATTGAAAGGTAGTCTTCAACACTCGTGACTTGTCCCCCCGTTGGTCGCCACCTCGTGCTAACGCGGGACCGACGCCACGCTGCCTTGGAAAACCGCAACGCCCTCGCGCAGCATCTGTTTTTTCTCAGACTTGGCAGCGCGCATGTTCACAACCATGGTACATTATTTTTCAGAAATCGCCTCCCACTGACGGTTGAGCATTCCCAGTCAAAATGGTTTGGCCGTGTTAGTACAATATTTTATCCCATTCCGATCTACAGCCAGTCAACGTTTACGGAGTCCTCAATATATCCGCACGACCCAGAACAGATTCTGACAAAGGTTCTGAGTTTTGTCGCTTTATAAACAGTCCACTGAACATCTGTAAAATAAATAACGCCAGAGGTTTATTCCATGCAGCAAATCAACGCCCGATGCCTTCAGTTTATCGACTGCTCAAAACGCCAACATAATCTGCTCCTCCAGTAACTTCTTTGGCGTCTGTTCCAGCAAAAAAAGCTAAATGAACATAAAACGACGAAACGGGCCCGTTCGAAATCGTATGGGCCAAATATGATGGTTTTTGGGATATTTTTCGCCATCAGGGGGTCCATTGCCAACCCTGTGGCCTCATCTTACCAAGGCTCTGTTTGCGATCCTGTCGAAGCACAATATAAGCCATAAACCAAGTTTGGTTCAGGTCTAAGGTGGTGGTACGCTGAAATTGCATTATCGATGGTTGAGTGGGCAGGGAATGACTCTGCGTATTTTTTTCGATTTATCGTCGGACAACACTTAAAGCATGACTAAGTAAGAATGCTTCACCTCCGAGTGAGCCTCCGCGATCCGATTTGGGACATTCCTTGGTCTCTCGTGATCAGTCAGCCCTCAGCCATATCCGTCATGGTGTGAATCACGCAGTGTTCAGACGGCTCTGACGATACAATTTCGACGACATTTACGACAAGTGTAGTACTCGTTTTCATGACTGGGCGAATAGGTGGTACATTTCATCAGGGCGGACAGCACAGGCGATGATGTAACAGCAAGATAAGGACTTGGCTAGTACCCAAGTTATCCAGCAAATGCGATGGCTTCTATTGATTGTTGGCTGCTCCGGTCACCCGGTCTTTGTTACGGCCATCGAACACCACCAACACGTTTCACCACAACAGGAGATTGAGATTCCGTCTCTCCATCGACCCAAACTCATAAAGCGCTCGGCATAGTTATTATTCACATGTATTCTATAAAGTATACTTGTGATCAAATTGCACAGCTGCTTAGAGACGAGGCGGGAGGGCAGCGTATGTTTCAGTAATGTGCGAACGTGAAATTCACACAAAAACACACACGCACACATATAAACACGTGAGCTTCCGTCCTGGTGTTACAGGCGTAAAATAGCGCTCTCTTGAACGAAGAACATTCGTTCCCGTTCCGAACACATCAGATATTCGGTCTACTCCTCAGGATCGTCCAGAGGCCGGCAGACGAGTACGTCAGGATTTTGGATGTTGCACTGGACCTTCCGTTATCAAGTGAATCGCACAGCTCTGGTTTTCAGCCTGTCGGGAGCGTCTCGCGGCACCGTGGGTCGAAACCGACGGTCGACGGCGTGCAGACGTACTTACAGGGCGTCAACAAATATCAGATACAACACGCACACTTTAAACTATTGATATGAATGCATTAAGAACATAAAATAACACACAACGCTTAGCCATACAATGAAAATCATACGCTGCTGACATTGCGGAGTGATTTTTCTGTTTTTTCCCTTAAA